CAGTCTGTGCCCCCCTCCCTTTTGGTACAGGCAAAGCTATAGCTTTTGTTTTGGTGTGTTTTTTTGGCCTTGACAATCTACAGTCACATTCTTCAAGTTTCAGGAGCTATCTTGTAATTCATTCTACACACACCTCTTGATTTAATGATCTCCTCCACTTTCATAATCAAAAGATTGAGTTTAAGATTAAATCTCACATCATTGAAAAGATCTTTATCTTATACTGCTTCTTTCTGGAGATCAGCTAGCTGATCACACTTTGGGGTAGGGAGGTGGGTAGCAGGCGCCACAAAAACGACGACTGTGGTGCCTACATTTTACAAGCCAAGTAAAGAACAATGCGAGTCGACACAACGCCCTCACCTGCGTTATACTAATTTGCAGAGACTGTTCGAAATTACCGCCAATAAGCGCTGTAACAAGTATTTGAAACAAACAAACAAAAAACCCCCACAAAAACTCAGATAGGGTTCCATGAAGCACAAAAGGTTTGAAACCGTGTTTAAAAGAACTAGGAAATCATTAACGTCCCAAACCACATATCCTGCAACGGCGTCTCAATTATCGGGGACAAACTTGACATGCCCTCAGGCTGCCTCCCGCAGGCTCCCACCCGCACTCGCCCCCGCCTTCAGGCCCCAGCCCCCAAGGCCGCCTGCCCCCAGCCCCGCCGGGAAAGAGGCCGCTTGCGGTTACCTGGACGTCCCAGTCCCGAAGGAGAAACCTCCACCCGTGCCGCTCCCGCCAGCGGCCACGGTGGAGGAACCCAGCGTGCTGCTCCCGAAGGAGAACCCTGTGGACATGGCTGCGGGCTAAGCGCGCCGTCGGCAAGCTAAAGGGTCGGCACGCCGTTCCCGCCTCAAGGCCCAGGCCGGCCCAGCAGCATCGCTCCCGCCGAGCCGCGACCTGGCGCGAACGCCGAGCTTCGCAACCGCGAAGACAGGTATGAGCGCGGTGGAAGCCGCGCCGCCCACGTCTGAGCTGGTCGCGCGCACGCAGCTCCGGAAGCGCGCCGCCGCGCAGGGGCTGCTGGGAAGGGGTGGGGGCCAGCGCGCCGCGCGAGGCGCCCTGGGACGGACGGGAGCAGGGCCCGGAGGTACCGCTGAGACAGTGCTTTGGTTTCAGTTCGGTTTTGCGTTTGTGCTCTGTAGCTTCTTTCGTGTATGGCTGTTGAATCTCAGTCAGTTCAGTTCAGTTCAGTTGCTCAGTGTGCCCGACTCTTTGCGACCCCATGGACTGCAGCACGCCAGGCCTCCCTGTCCATCACCAACTCCCCGAGTTTACTCAAACTCATGTCCATTGAGTCGCTGATGCCATCCAACCATCTTATACTCTATCTTCCCCTTCTCCTCCCGCCCTCAGTCTTTCCCAGCATCGGGGTCTTTTCAGATTAATAAGCTCTCTGTATTAGGTGGCCAAAGTATTGGAGCTTCAGCTTTAGCACCAGTCCTTCCAGTGAATATTCAGGAATGATTTCTTTTAGGATGGTCTGGTTGAATCTCCTTACAGCCCAGGGGACCACCAAGAGCCTTCTCCAACACCACAGTTCAAAAGCATCGATTCTTCGGCGCTCAGCTTTCTTGAATCTCAGTTATTGCTTATATCTTTGCCCTCTGCCAGGGAAAATGCGCAGTGGACCGGACGAAAAAAGTTGCGAAGCGAGGACGATGTAAGGGTTCCGTAAGCAAACCTTACACATAAGAAAAACGGGGTTTTAAAGTGGATATTCCCTCTGGCAGGAGGATGAGGAAAGGCTTGCGGGCGGTGGTGCATTTGAGGCGCACCAAGTGCAGGTGCACCTTGTTTTTCCATCAGAGGTTGTCACGTTACTCTTGCAAAGGATTTTCCTACCTGCTGTTGTTTTTTTTTTTTCCGCCCAGTAAAATACATGTAAAATACATTTTATAAGCAACCGCCGTATTTGCTTTCCAAAACAGTTCCCACCAGGACACTGCCTTGATCAGAAACCCAGTGGCTCTTTCCGTGTGGTACTCAGTGGCTTATAAGTGACGTATCTTTATAACCTGACATGTCACAGCTCCCCTTAATGCAGCATTTTCTCCTGCCTTGAGCTTGGGCTACCTGATATGCACTGAACTGTGTCCCTCCGCAACTCACATGTTGAAAACGTAATCCCTGATGTCCTGGTAGTTATTTGAGATGGGCCTTTGGGAGGCAATAAGGCTTAGATGAGGTCGTGAGACTGGGACCATCATGACAGGACTGGTTCCCTAATAATGAGACACCAGATACAACACTGTAAAGCAACTGTGTGTCTGTGCGTGTGCATATTCGAAATGTTTAGTGGATCGGTCCTGTTGGGCTCTGCGACCCCATGGTAGCCTGCCAGGCTCCTCTCTGTGGGATTTTCCAGGCAAGAATACTGGAGTGGGTTCTGATTCCCTTCTCCAGGGGATCTTCCCGACCCAGAGATGGAACCCGCCTCTCCTGCATTGGCAGATGGATTCTTTACCACAGAGCCACCTGGGAAGTCAAAGCAACTATACTTCAATAAAAATTAATTTTTAAAATGAGGAAAATTTATTTTAAAGGAAAAAACATTTGTTTTTAATTTATAAAAGTTCTATTTGGTTCTTCTTCATGTCTGCTAGATCATTAAGAAACTATTTTTTCCCCCATACACTGCAGATATTTTCATCAAGTCTGATCTCTTTAAACATAATGAGCATAATTTTCTTTTTTTACAAACTAAGCCTGATAATTATAAACTCTCATTGCCACTTATGCTGTTCTTGCAAATTATCTCTTTAAGAATTGTTTCCTCTTGTGCTAGTTATTTTTATGGTGAATAATGATTTTCCCTGGAAAATTAATTGTGAGGGTTATTTAAATTTTATTATAGAGTGGCATTTCACCAAAAAAGGGGGGGGGGGGATTTGTGTTTGCTATGCTAACATTCCTTGCTGTCATTCAGTTGCTAAGTCATATCCAACTCTTTGCTACCCCATGGACTGCAGCACGTCAGGCTTCCTTGTCCTCCATCATCTCCCAGAGGTTGCTCAAACTCATGTCCATTGTGTCGGTGATGCCATCCAACCATCTCATCCTCTATTGCCCTCTTACATTCCTAGGCACTAATCCCAAATGTTTGAAATGATATTCACAACCTGAAGGTTTCTTTGAAAGTCTTTTAGGTGGGATGAACTAGGTTATATAAATTTATCCAATAAATGTTAAGGTAAATTTCCTGCAGTATTCTGGGCACTGGAGTGGTTGAGACTCCTTCTGGTCCTGGCTTCACATAGGTAAAATCTCCCATTGTGCTCACTACCTGAGGTGGGCCCGAGACTTTGACTCCTGGACTTTGGGTGCTGCAAGAGTGTCAAAAGAGGTACTAAATTCACCTGGTTTGGAAATGGCCCTTTGGCAGGAATTTCTGCATCCTGCTTACCTTTCTGCATACACACTTTCCCTTCCATTTTGCACTTGTAAGTCCTCACTCTCTTCTCAGTTATTTGGCACTTTATGGAATTCGATTTTCTATTTTATTTATTCATCCATACATTTATTTTGGCCATGTTGGGAGGCATATGGGATCTTAGCTCCCCTACCAGGGACCAAATCTGCACCACCTGCATTGGAAGGGCAAAATCTTAACTGCTGGGTTGCCAAGGAAGGCCCTTGATTTTCTATTTTAGATATTATTTTACTTTTTTTTTTTTTTTAAAAAAAGCACAGACTCACCTCCTAGCCTATCAGATTACCACAAATGAAATTTTAATGGATTTTGAAAAACAAATCAATACTGAACAGTGTTAAGAATATAGACTGTAGAGTCAGACTGTCTGGCTTTACCTCTGAAATCTAGGCTTTATCTGCTGCATGATGTTGGGCATGTTACTTTATTGTATTTCACTCTCCTCATCTTTAAAATGAGAAGGATAATAGTATTTACCCCATAATACAGAGAAAGCACTTGGTACTCTTTCTGTCACCTGGTAATCATTAGTGTTAGTATTGTTACCTCTTTATGAAAACTGAAAAAAAGAGAAGATGAGAAATGATAAGAGAGGAGAAGGGGGAGATAGAGTTTTGATGATACATGTATGAAGATGTGAAATGGAGAAAATGACAAAACCTTGGGGGAAAATAATAGGTTTTTACTTGCTTGGACTCATAATTTTTAAGAGATGATATTAAACTGTGGAGAGACCATGCTTTACATCACAATCCCATAATACTGGGTGCCGGATTCAGATAAGACTACATAAAATACAGCTGAGTGTCAAAGAATTGATGCTTTTGAACTGTGGTGTTGAAGAAGACTCTTGAGAGTCCCTTGGACTGCAAGGAGATCCAACAATTCCATCCTAAAGGAGATCAGTCCTGAATATTCATTGGAAAGACTGATGCTGAAGCTCAAACTCCAGTACTTTGGCCACCTGATGCGAAGAACTAACTCATTTGAAAAGACCCTGATGATGGGAAAAATTGAAGGCGGGAGGAGAAGGGGACGAGATGAGATGAGATGGTTGGATGACATCATCGACTCAATGGACATGAGTTTAAGTAAACTCCGGGAGTTGGTGATGGACAGGGAGGCCTGGCGTGCTGCAGTCCATGGGGTCGCAAAGAGTCGGACACCACTGAGCGACTGAACTGAGATTCTCGTGAAAGAACTGCAGCTCAGACAAAAGCGGAAGTATCGAGATTTGGTGCCGTCCCCTGATAGGGTATAAAGAGACTCCAGGGACTCCCCGTCTCTCCCTCACCCACCGAATGCTCTGCACGGCCGGTCCCCACGACTTCGTCCACCGGGTAGAAGCGCGGGCCAGTCGCTATGGAGAGGACCACACTCTCCCGGGGATCGGAGAGCCTCCACCGGCAGGGGGCGCCGTGCGTCCCGCCGCGGGCCCCGGGCGAGTCCGCTGCCGCTCTGCGCGCCGCGCCGCGCCCACTCGGCGCTCCGGGGTTTGCGGAAGTGTTTCCAGGAGACGGCGGGTGGGTGGCGCATGCGCGGCGGGCGCGGCGGGCCGGCGGTGGTGCGACCCCGGACGGTGCGGCGGCGGCGGCCCTTGGGCGCCTAGTAGGGATGGAGCACATCCGTACGACCAAGGTGGGTGCACGGCGGCCGCTCGCGGCGGAAGGCCCGGCGGGCCGGGCGGCCCGGGCGGGTTTTCCGTTAGGCGTTGAGCTCCGGGGGCCTGCGGTCAGTCCCGAGGGACCAGCGGCCTTTCCCCCCACCCCGCCCCGGTCACCTGCTCCACCTCACTTTCCCTGGGGTGGCGGTTTCCGGCGCCGCTTCAAGCTCTGGGGTCTGTAGAGTTCAATCAGCTGCACAGACGAGGTCCGGAGAAGGGGAGTGTGACCCCACGTCTTAACGTGTCTGAGGGAAACGCTCTGCCGCTGAGCTCACGAAATCCCTCGCTTCAGTGTTGTGTGTGAAGGGCACTTACTAGGGTTGTGATCCTGGGACAGCTGTGAAAACGGAAGGGGGTGACATCAGAATATCGGCGACTTGCTTGACCGTCGGCAGTGAAGTTCATCTTCAACTTAGGGCTGGGAAGGGGAAAACAAGTCGAGATCAGAAGCATTGAATGGCCCACGCGGAGCTTTTAACAAAATCAGGACAAGGACCCGCTGTGAGCCTCGACTCTCCCTCCGCGTTTTGTCGAAGCCATCAGTCAGTTGTGGTCCATCCTCAAGTTACAGCTCCTGTAGGGAAAAGAGCATCTTCTTTTCCATATTCTTCATCTGTCCCAGGGAGAATGTGAGATGGATATCATTAAAATGTTTCACAAACCTTCCTAAGGTGGATTTATATTAAAGCTTTTTTTTTTTTTAAGAAAAACATAGCACATGCTGTATCTAATAAAATTAAAGATGCTAAAAAGTAATCCCACTGGGAAAAAAATTTCTCTTTGTATGTTCAAGAGAGGAAAGATAAAGTAACTCTGGAATTCACGTTACTGCCACTTCAAGTTTGAAGATAGAGGGTGCCTAAGTAAAGAGGCAAAGCATTAGAAGGTGCAGAGGTGGAGAAGAGGACTAGCATACACTCAGACCAGGGTCTTGCCCTGGTTTCCAGGTTCCGGGTGTGTGTTAGGTAGTAGCTGTGTGCACCATGACTTCCTCCTGTGCCCAGGTGAACCTCTTCATTGCATGTTTCATCCTGCTGCCCACAGTGTGGAGCACACAATGAAAAAATAGTAAAGAGTGAACTGAACTGAAGCAATCAGAGCAAACCCTACTCAGGATTGGTGAGAGGGGGCAGAATGTTAGAAAATGTTTAGGATCCCTTGGCTTATTTTAAATCTTTTCACCTGAAATTTATGATGACTATATATCTTTGTTTCTATTTCTGTAGTTGTAGCAGCTCTCATGCTGTTAAGCTTCTTGCCCATGACTTTCATTTGGTCTGATGTTTCTCTCTAACTACCAGTTGATGGACTTTAATTATGTCTTGTCTTTTCACAGTGGAACCATACTGGTGGTTTACTAAGGTGTTTTTATGAACTTTATTTAAAGACTAAAAGATTTCTAACTAATTTCTTATTAACGTTACTTTTCAAGTGTGCTGCTTTATTTCTTTGGGTTATTTTTCTAGCTTTAGACCACTCCTGCTCTCTTAAGTGCCTGTGAGTGAACTGCAGTTAAACATATTTCCTAGGTACTGTTACGTGTCAGGCCCACAACAGTGAGCTAGACAGACATTCTTTGAGTTGCTCCGTGAATCGGATATCCCCCTAAATAATAAATTATTCTTAAAAGATTTTTGTTTCTATTTTTTGTTTCCAACTTTTTGTTTCTATTACACATAGCCTTCACCTGGACAGTTAATTTGCTGCAAAAGTAACTGTAAGTATTTGAAAACTAAAAATGAATTGCTTTCAGTTTATTTAGCTGTTTTTACCTGTGTGGTTTAGTCGCGATCAAGAATTGACTGTCAGAATAGTAACTGTGTAACCAGTGATTTGTTCTGTGTTGTTCAGACTGGCTGTATTTGAGAAGTAATAATTACCTTTTATTGAGCAAGGGTATGTCAGAATAGCCAACTCTACAATGTGATTTCAAATATTTACAATTCCCAAATATGTTAATTTATACAAAATCATCACTGATCTTTTACCGCTGCCTTTGGGGACGTTATCTCCATTTACAGATGAGGAGGAAGTCAGCTTCAAGAGTTTAAGCGACCGAGGTAGAGCCTAGATTTGCCTCAATGCTGTCTCACCCACAAACTACACAGTGGCTTTTTCATTGCCTCTCTGCTTTCAGTCTGTTTGTTCAAGTGTATTAATATTAATTCAGAAGTCTTAATAATTCTAAGAGCTTTTTCTTCCCGCAAACAACTTCTTGACATAAGTAAATAAAGAAATAGTATTGTCTTTTGTACTGTTTTAGTCATTTTTAAAAAATTGCTTACTAACCAGAGATGTATCAGATAAAGTATTTTAGCTGACTGCTAATTAGATGGCTTTATAGTTCTAAAATTTAGGATCAGATGTATTATCCTATTTTGGTCACATTTGGCTTACTAACTGTATAGTGTCAATAAAGACATCAAGTCTGAATTTGCATTTCTGAAAGTGCATTTCAAGGCTGTATTTGTGAGCAGTGCAGCAGCTGTCTCTTACTTTGAGCTCTAACTTTGTCCTAAGGAGAGTCTTGCCAGGAAACAAAGGGAACTGTGCGGAAACAGTCCTTTTATATGCATCCTCTTTCCGCAGCCAGGCCCCAGTGTTTCGGCTGACATCATATGTTGATGCCAAATGGTGTTGTGCTGCTTGTTGTGAATGGAACGTTACAGAATGGAATGGGAGGACTTTCCTTGGTGCTCTGTATATGAAAGACCACTTCCTAGAGCTGGTTAAAGAATGGAATATCCCTTGAAAATCTGATCCCACTGAGGCTCAAATTGAGTTATTTCAAAAGTGATGCTTTCTTCTTAGCTTGCTACGTGCCCCCATTTTTTTTGTAAATGCATGTGCAAAGGTTATTACTAAAAACACAGATCATTTGCTTGAGTAGCGTTGATACTTTATAATAACCTTTATTTCCATGTATATGCGTTAGTTCTCTTTTCTTTAGAGCATTTTGCTTTAATTGCTGCAGGAAATAAGACAGATGAGCTTTAAATCCAGGTATCACTGTTGGCTGACCAGAGTGTCCTTTTTCAGCTGATTCTCACACAGTTAAGGAGGAGTCAACAGTAGTTTGATCCCATTGTTTTAAAGATGTTTATGTTTTGATGAGAAGTGTGTGGTATAATAAAGTTAGATTTTTATTTAAGGAAGAAATAGTCCTGAGCAGTGATAGTTTACTTTCCTAACCCTGGATAATAACCTTATTTATTTCTTGACTTGCCAACGTACAAAATACATTGACTCTTGGATACAAAAATATGTTTTTGCTTATTTATACCACACCCCTCCTCCCTGATTCCCTTTCCTATTTATGTTAAATTTCTTACAGAGTTTTTCTCTATAGGCTGTATTTGTTGCTGTAAGTAATATCAATGTTGTTGGTGGCTTGTATATCACCCAAGATATATGAAATTTAACTTTCAACCTTAAGTAATCTCATCTTTTTGAACAGAAGGAGGAAGCAGTTTGAAACTGTAATTTAAGTACTGATATAAAAAGAAGAATTTATATGACTTTGTAATGAGAAATAACACTTTCTCTTTTTCAGGTTGAGCAAGTGAAGCTACTTGACCGGTTCAGTACCAGCAACAAGTCGTTAACAGGAACGCTGTATCTCACGGCCACACATCTGCTCTTCATAGATGCTCATCAGAAAGAAACCTGGGTGAGGCGGGCCTGCGCTGCACTGTAATAACAGTAATGGACTTGCGCCTTGTTTTCTCTGAACATGTGCAAAACAATGCTCCTGTTAGCTGGCTGTCTTAACTGAGGAAATTTCAGTCACGTGATTACATCTGCCCTCCTCTTTAAATAAAACAGTGGTGTCACTGGAGTGAGTGGCATTCTTTCTCAGTGGTGAATTGTAAGTGAAGGCCAGAAAGAGCACTTGAAGTTCCCAGGTGAAGAGTTAGAGCTGCCTCATCCCAGTAGGTCGGGGCAGCGCAGTGTTATGTGAAGGAGCTTGTGTGGGAGGAGCCAAAAGACGGCTGTTGTCACCACGACTTAGGGATGTGGGGGGACTTGAATTGAGGCAGGGGAATGGGGAATAGCATGACTAGACAGCTTTTTTTATAATTGCCTTTTATTTTTTTAACTTATTTGATTTTATCTTTAAAAATCATATTGAAGTATTGTTGATTTACAATCTTGTGTTTGTTTCTGTCATCCAACAAAGTGACTCAGCTTTATGTTTACATACATACATATATCCTTTTCCATTATGATTTTTTACAGGATATTGAATATAGTTCCCCGTGCTATACAGTGGGACCTTGTTGTTTATCCATCCTATATGTAAATAGTTTGCATCTGCTAGTTCCAGACTCCCACTTCTTTCCACCCCTACCTCTCTGCCCCCTTGGCAAACACAAACTTGTTTTCTATGTCTGTGAACCTATTTTTGTTTTGTGGGTATGTTGACTTTTATCATATTTTAGATTCCACATGTAAATAGCATATGGTATTTGCCTTTCTCTTTTTAGCTTACTTAGTATGATAGTCTCTAGGTCTATCTGTGTTGCTGCAAATGGCATTATTTTATTCTTTTTTATGGCTGAGTAATGTTCCATTGTATAAAGCGTATCTTTATCCATTCATCTGTCGATGGACATTTCAGTTGTTTCCGTGTCTTGGCTATGGTGAATAGTGCTGCTGTGAACATAAAGTGCTTGTGTCTTTTCGAATTGTAGTTTTGTCTGGGTATGTGCCCAGGAGTGGCATTGCTGGGTCATATGTCAACTGTTTAATTGCTTTTCAATGGTCACTCCTCTGCCTTGTAGAAGATGGCTTAGAGAAGGTCAAGAGTGGCTATGGAGAGAGCCTGCGGAGGCTCTTTGCAGTAGCTCAGGTGGGACCAGTGGAGACGTTGCACCCAGGGCCATGACGGTGGAGATGGAGAGAAGGGGACAGGGTACAGAGATGTTTCTAGGGCCCTGTTCTCAAGCTCTGATTACGTGTAGAACAGCTACAGTGGTAGGGAGCTATCAGGCATGTTTCTGGCACGGGCATTTGGTCGTTTAAAAGCTTAAGTGTGTAACCTTGGAGACTCTTTGAAGAGGCATTTCTAACATTTCTGCTCTCTGGCAGAGTAAGATGCTGAGTGCTTTGAAGGTATGACGATAAGCGAATGTTTTCTTGTGCTGTAGATACTGCACCACCATATTGCCTCCGTGGAGAAGCTCGCTCTGACGACTTCCGGGTGCCCCCTGGTGATCCAGTGCAAGAACTTCCGGACTGTGCACTTCATCGTTCCCAGAGAGAGAGACTGCCACGATATTTACAACTCTCTGCTGCAGCTGTCAAAGCAAGGTGCTGTTCTTCAAGACCAAAGCTTGCTTCTCAATTGACGTGGATTCTCTAAGCTGCTTTTTAAATATCTCATTATTGTTATTTTGTACTTTAAGTTACTCTTAAGGTCATGTGCACTCTATTCCAAAAAATTTGGCCTATAAATAGTTAGAAACTTCTGAATTATAAAACTGGTTTCCAAAGAAGGTATTACTGTTCAGTCGCTCATTCATGCCTGACTCTTTGTGACTCCATGGACTGTAGTTCACCAGGTTCCTCTGTCCATGGGATTCTCCAGGCAAGAATAATGGAGTGAGTTGCCATGCCCTCCTCCAGCGAATCTTCCTGACCTAGGGATCACACCTGAGTCTCCTGCATTGGCAGGCAGATTCTTTACCACTGGGCCACCAGGGAAGCCCACAGAAGGGGTGATAATAAGGAAAGTGTGAAACATTTAAAACCACTGAAAAACCATAGATTTATGTGGACGTTTTCAAAGTCTGTTGATCACCTGAAGCACAGATTTTTTTTTTTTAAGTGGGTATCTCACAACCGAGAGAAATGACGTGGAAATTGATTCCTAATTAAGTTAAGGGCAGTCAGCCTCCTCTGATAGCAGTGGGTTAGTACATACAATCCAGGGGAGTGGAGCCTGAGGGGTTGACCTCTTCTTTAGCAGAGGTGGCAGTGAGGGTGTGACACACCCTAAGGAGGAATCACATCACTGCTTATGCCCTGGGGTCTGCTGGCTTCCTTCCAGGACATGCTGGACTCTGTCGCTCTCTCCTAGAGGTGAAGCACACCGATTCCTGAATGTTCCGTTGTGTGGAACGCCTGGGTGGCAGTGGTCTGGGAGCGGGTCCACGCTCACTCCCCTCTCCCAGCCCTGGAAGCCTGTGCCGTTGACCCCAGTGTCCCCAGGGCAGCCACGTCTTATAGCAGGGGTGGCCCTGTGACTCTGGGGCTTGGCCTTGTTCAGGAGGAAGTGGTCTCTTGAGCTCTACACAGCCTTTGCTGGTGTGGGTCCACACTGTCCCGTTGGTGGGGTGTGTGCTGCCTCAGGTTCTGCATGCCACCTCTGGCTTTCCACTAAGTGCACACTGGGCTTCCAGTTCACATCTCATTTGGGGAATGTCTACTTGTATCTTTAAAATTTTACTTTGAGAAAAAGGAAATATTGCAGTGTAGTATTTAATGTGTGTGTATTGTTTACTAGCTCTTGCTGATTTTATAAGCTGAATCTCAGATCAATATGTGTGCCTTTAGGTATAATCATCCATTTCAAAGAACTGAAGTATTAAGTTGTAGTATGTTCAGATGTTAGCTGTCTCTTTGAAGATTTTTTAAATAGAGAGATAAAACTGAAAAATTACTCTCATTTGTAGTGTCCTAAGTCCTAAAAGTTGCCTCTTAACATTCATGTGTTTTGTATACCGTAGCAAAATACGAAGACCTCTATGCGTTCTCTTATAATCCCAAACAAAATGACGCCGAAAGACTGCAGGGATGGGAACTCATTGACCTCGCCGAGGAGTATCAGAGGATGGGAGTGCCCAATTCCAACTGGCAGCTGTCTGACGCCAACCGAGACTACAAGGTACCCATCTCCCTTTCTGGAGGTTCTCAGAATACAAGGTACTGGGGTCAGGGACCATCAGAGCAGTAACTTTTACTGTTCTTGCATTTAGTGAGTTTTAGAGATTTTTAAAGGTGATTTTTAACCTGGTTCTAGAACTGTGAGTAGAATCATTGCGTTTTGTTTGATTTTTACAGATCTGTGAAACTTACCCCAGAGAACTGTATGTGCCCCGAATAGCAAGCAAACCAATAATTGTTGGTAGTTCCAAGTTCCGGAGCAAGGGGAGGTTTCCTGTTCTCTCCTACTACCACCAGAGTAAGGAGGTAGGGAGTTGCTCTGACCTTATTAGTGGGGTACAAGTCCCTGCAGGTCTAGGTGTCCAAAAGAATACCCATCTCTACACTTGGAGGGCACCATCAGCGTTGCCGATAGAGAAGTGCTGACCTTTCCCTTAATTATGTTTCTGAAATTTTGAAACAAAATTATCCTGAAATATGGAAACTTTCATATTTGTCACCTTCCTCCCCTCACCTTTATTGGAATTTTAGTCAGGTTTTAGAAGGGAGCAAGAGGTAAAAAATAAAACTGTAAACAGAAGTCCTCATCAACTTTTCACAGAAAAGTCATAGGGGTTTTATCACTCTGATTATAGCATTTGTTTGACATACCCATGTTTGTGTACATTTTTTTAATTGGAAAACTGGGCTGAACTTAACAAATACAGAAAATGGGTCTGAAAAAAAACCTCAGGCAATCCTTATTTTCTTCTACTATTTTCTTAATTTCCATGATCTTATTTTGTGTGTGAGTTTAAACTGTGTGAATGTGAATTTACGTGTACTTTTTTCCCTCATGATACTGTAATTGTAATGTTTGGGTAGGGTCAAGTTGGAGTTACTAAGAATGAGGTTGGAGAAAAAGTATATGGGTCTAAATCTTAGAAATCTTTTGTAAGACTTTAAACAACAGTAAATAATCCAACACACATGGCTTATTATAGATATTTTTGCCCTCTTAGATTGACTGTATTTTAACCAAATTTGAATTCAAACTTATTTTTCTCATAAGTCTCATTATATATAAACATCAGTGATTTCTAATTAGATATCGGCATGACTTTGGAAGGTAAAAGTTCAAATGTTGCTGTTTTTAAAAATTCTGTTCTACATTTATTGACTAATTTACTTACTTGAACTTGAAAGAATCTTGTAACGCAGAGCACAGAATGCAGGTATCTGGTTAGGTTACCTGATAGGGAATCAAACAGTTGTTACTTCTTAGGACCAAAGATTTTGGTTGTTTTTTTTTTTTTTCCATCAAACTCTTGAGTAAGGAGGTATTCAGATTTCTTAGTAGAAGAGAGTATTGAGAAAACTTAGGTAAATGTCAATATGTTGGAAAGTATTTAACACAAATAGGATTTCCAAGTTGAAAATGAAAGTATTAATCGCTCAGTCATGTCCGACTCTTTGCAACCCAGAATCTTCTGTCCGTGGACTTCTGCAGGCAAGAACACTGAAGTGGGTTGCCATTTCTGTCTCAAGGGGATCTTCCCAAACCACGGATTGAACCTAGGTCCCTGCATTGCAGGCAGATTCTTTACCATCTGAGTCACCGGGAAATCTAATCGTCCTGTCAGCTTTTAAACAGATTGCACATTTAATTTTAACTGTGGGTTTTTTCTTTTAAGCATGCTTTCAAGATGTGTTATAGACTTCTCTGGATAACCTGCTTTCTCTCTTTCTATAACTAGGCTGCCATTTGTCGCTGTAGTCAGCCGCTGTCAGGGTTTAGTGCCCGGTGCCTCGAAGATGAACACTTACTTCAGGCCATCAGCAAGGCCAACCCAGCCAACCGCTACATGTACGTCATGGACACCAGACCCAGAGTATGTGTCCAGTACAGCCTGGCAGTTCACTGTCTCTGCTGATTCAGTTAGTGGGAGCCGGGCACTGTGTCCATGTTAAACATGCTGAATCCTAGTTTTAAATGAACCAAGGCTAAGGAAGTCAATCTTTTACAGGATACCAACTTAGGAGACCCAGTTCCCAGTAACCCAGGTGGTGATTTTTTATGTCTTCTGATATATGTACAAGTTTAGGAAAGCTGAATTTTATATTGGGAGCTCTAGATGGTATATCAGCATTATGTTATTGTGAAGTATGTTGTGAAAATTAAAAATTCTCACTACTTTTCTTTTCATCGAATTTTTAATTGGCAAAACACTGTTAAAACGATGTTCCTTAATATGGAATATTCAGGAAAATAAGGAAAATAGACAGTGAGCTAACTTAAGAAACATTGAACTAGAGAAATGAACTAGTGAACTAGTTGAACGTTGAACAATGAACTAGTGAACAATAAACAGTTGTTCTGTTAGGTATCTATCATGTCAAGATAAATTTTTATCTTTGGGACAAATGTCCGAATCCCTTTTTCCTTTTGTCAATGCAGTAAAACAACCAATTCATGTAGGATCCTGAAACTAAAATAATTAAAATCCTCAACAGTAATAGCTAACATTACTTTTAATTTTTATTGTAGCATCGTGTGCAGAGCTGGTGGGCTACACAAAAGGACATTGGCAGAATTATAGTGAGGATTTCTTCAAAAATCTGGAATGATGAGAAAATAAGAGAAAGCGATGAGAAAAAGCGAGTGAGCGATACAAAACACAATTTTAGGCAGCTTTGTTGAAAGGAATCATAGCTGTTTTAGAAGTAATTCTCATCATTATGCAGTTTTACAAAAGATAATGGAGAAAAAGAAGATAAGAGTAATTTGTGTAAATTAAGTATTAAAAGTTAGAGATTGATAGTTTGATAATCTTTGTTTAACAAAAAAAAGACTTTCTTAGAAGTCAAGAGTGTTGGTGTTACCTCTTGTAAAAAAAATTTTGGTTTACTTCCTAGTATAATTTGAGTGGCTTAATTGCATTGCACTATTTTTAGGTAATATTAGATATAAAGGATGACTGTAATTTAACACTTTCTGAACATGAGGTCTGAGGGTGATTTGTTTCTCAGGCCCTAATATCTCATATAATTGATGTCTCACAAAAAATGTATATCTTTATTTGATTGTTGTGTTTTACTAGTTAAACCTGAGTACCAATAATGTGGAAGCATTTTTTAAATATCTAAGTCTTGCTTTAGTTATCATAGATCCCGAATTACCAGTGAGTCAGTAGACAATGTAACTGTACTTCTTACCAACCTGAGCCCCAGTCCACTGCAAGAAAAGCAGTTTTTTCTTCCAGTTTAGGTTCTGTTTCATCCAACTCCTTAAGACTATTGACAAATATCATAACATACCATAGGAAATCCCAGTGTCACAGAATTAAACATGCCAGATATTAACCTCTGAGAGCATTTGCTCTAATAACCTAAGACCATGGGCCCATAGGCGGTCTTCTCTGCCTAGAAATTGGGCTGTTTTGGGCCCAGTTCTTGGCATGTATCAGGCTAGCTCACTGCGTGCTGTGTGGTGTACTGTGTGATCTGATCCCAGTGACCTGACCCATGTTTCAGCTGTGCTTCAGGGTCTCTGGCTTTCTGAGTGGTCAGGTGCTCCAGGCTTGTTCTGAAGTGAGTCTGAAAGTTCGTTCTGTAACAGCTCTGCTCAGCCCTGAATTGTGTAGAGTTTAGATGGGAGATAATTCTTTTATAAATTTTGAAATATTACAAACATATGGAAGACTGACTAAATACACATGTGAATCAGTTTCATGAATTATGTGTAGGGAATTTCTTGTCTGATCCTTACATAGCAAGCGTGTTATTACTTTATAGGATCCTCTGTACTTTGAATAAATATAGATGATACTTTTCAATTATTAAAAAATGGTAGCACATTCAATTTTGATGAGTTCCTTTAAACTCTGCTAGCTAAAAGGTGGTTTATTTAGTGTTTTCGTAATATTTGGTAAATTAAGTTAAAAGAGAAAGGCAATTTGTCTCTAAATTTCTAAAATTTAAAATTTTAGCTGAATGCAATGGCCAACAGAGCAGCTGGAAAAGGTTATGAAAATGAAGACAACTATTCTAACATTAGATTTCAGTTTGTTGGAATTGAAAATATCCATGTCATGCGGTCCAGCCTTCAGAAATTATTGGAAGGTACGATTATTGCATGCCTTCTAGGCAGCTTTGTCCAACAGAAACAATGCTTGTCACAGTATAAAATTTAAAGTTACATACTTAAAAATATTTTAGTAGTTAAAATTCAGACATGTAAAAAGGACAATTGAAATAAATTTTAATAATGTAATTAAGCTAATATATTAAAAACATTATGCTAACATGTAATCAGTATAAAAAATTAGTAAAATATGTTTTGGTTTTTTTCTCTTTAAGTCCTATAAATTAGCTAGGGTGTCTTTTACACTTGCAACACATCTTAGTTTGGAATACTCACATTTCAGGTGTTTAATAGCGATATTTCAGTAGTGGCTACTATATATTGGGGTGGTATAATTCTAATGGTTTTACAAAAAAATGCTATTGTTTAGATATTTTAATCAGTCAGTACCATGAAGATTTAATATATAACAATGTTCTGTTTAAATATTAGGCTATCTTTCCAGTCCTGATATGGAATTTAAAAAATTAAAATATCAGACTTTTTAATTAAACGCTTGTGTTGCAGATTTTTTTAAAAGGGACATTGGAACATATTTTTTCTTTTCAAAGCCCAAGGAGTGACAGAAAAACAAACCCCAAAATCCATTAATGAACCTTTAATAGCATGTCTCCATGTATGAAGAGTCTAGCCTGTTTGTTGTGTCTTCTTCTCCAGCTGGCTCCCTGGGGGTGTCTTGAATAGAAGTGGGGACTCAGGCTCCTACCTAACTGGACTGTCTCTCCCCTTGCAGTCAACGGTACCAAAGGGCTTTCCGTCAACGATTTCTACTCTGGTCTGGAGAGCTCAGGATGGCTTCGCCACATCAAAGCTGTGATGGACGCTGCGATCTTCTTAGCCAAAGTAATGCTTTACCACTCACATTCGATCGTGGTCTTTCCGTGGTTCGGAAGGAATGGGTTCATTCTGTGGGGTGCTTGTATCCTTCCCAGTCAGATCGCTGTTACTACATTCTGTCTCTGTAGTGAGATTTACTTTAATTGGAGCTTTAAAAATATCATATAGCAGTTAATATAGGAGCTTCAAAAGAAATTCCCCAGCACTTTGAAATGACATTTTTGTCTGTTTTTTGTTTTGTGTTTTGTCTTGTTTTTTGGAGATTATGCTCTGACAGCATTATCACTGCACCCCTAGCTCTTCTTCATAAAGCATACCTGCTAATCTGGTTTTTGAGTAAGTAGACCTTACTGACTTACCTAAAATGTGTCCTGGTAAAATCAAAGTGTGTGGTCTGTCTTTTCAGGCAATCGCGGCTGAGAGCGCGAGTGTGCTGGTGCACTGCTCTGACGGCTGGGACAGGACCTCGCAGGTCTGCTCCCTGGGCTCTCTCCTGCTGGATCCCTATTACAGGACGATCAGAGGGTTCATGGTAAGGGCTTGCTTGGCCAGGTCAGTGGAGACAAGCAGGAGTCATTTTGATGTTTACGTCTAAAGAGCAGGGTACACCTGGGCTCCAGCTGGTGGAGGGCCAGCTGGTAATGTCCTGTAACACACAGGACAACCCTTCAGCAGAGGGGTACCTGGCCCAAAATGTCCGCGGTGCTGAGGCGTTAGACGAATTTCCTCTTGTGCCATCTCTTTGACAAAAAGTTTTAAACTTTTTTTTTCTCCTGCAAAGTGTTACAATAGAAGTATTCAGCGTTTCTCCCTCGTTTTTAATCTCACAAATGTAAATAATGTAGTAAGACAAGACATAGGTAAGAGTACTTATAAATTATATTCCAGAGGAAACTTTGTATTTAACACACTTTCATTTCTCAGTCGTAGGTACACGTTAAGTGTTAAGTGTTAGTTGCTCAGTCTTGTCTGACTCTTTGCAACCTCATGAACTGTAGCTCGCCAGGCTCCTCTGTCTATGGGATTCTTTAGGCAAGAATACTGGAGTAGGTTGCCATTCCCTTCTCCAGGGGATCTTCCCGACCCAGGAATCGAACTCATGTCTCCTGCATAGCAGGCAGATTCTTTACCTTCTAAGCCACTAGGGAAGCCCAGGTACACATTAGGAAGCTTGTTTTAAATCTGAAGAGACAGTTTATAGTTGGACAGATTTTGTTTTGTGGCCTTAAAACCCTGGCTCCTGGATTTTATTTACCTTTTTAACATATGATCAGATTAACTCATGTTTTCAAACTTTTCATCTTAACTCAGGGCAGGTACATAAGTGAAAAGCTGGTGAACAGTTTTCCTTGGTTTAGAATTACTCCACATAGTGCCAGCTTAGCAGGGGAAGGTTGGACACCCCCAGATCCCTTTCAGAATCGTTGTGTTTGTGGCGCCAACTTATTGAATCAGGGACAGGCCACGTGGAAGTGCTGCTGATAAAGTGCAGTTCCGCTTGCCTCCAGCATGTGAGACAAGATGTTTCCTTGGCCGTGTTTCGCTTTCGTTGTCTTGATGTCCAGATGAACTCAAGCAGTGACCAGTGCCTGTGTGAGAGCCTCCCAGACCAATTACCAGTGAGAACTAAAGCGTGGCTCCTGCAAAGGCCTGCAGGCTGTGTGAGGGGTGGGCCGGGTGCAGAAGAGCGGAGTGGGCTACAGGCCTGAGGAAGAAAAGTGTGGCATCTGGACTTCACCCTCCCTGGGTGGTGAGAGCTGTTAAATGCAGGAAGAGTAACGTGCTCAGAACTGTTTTTAAAAGAATGGTTTGATGTCTTGAAGGTAGAGGAGTGGGGATGGAGGCTTGAAGACTTGCTGGAAGCTGTTAGGATGGCTTACGGAGAAAAGAGGGCAGAGCTAAGGCAGTGCCACACAGATGGATGGAGGAGAGGGTGCTGGGTCCACCTCCAGGGAGGTCAAGACAGTAGCGTAAGAGCTGTTCTGGGACTGGAGGTAGTGCCAGAGACGAGTCCTCCTCTAGGATGGTGTGCAGGCTCAGGGCTCAGGTGCAGGATGGATTGTGCCATTCTGCTCTTCACTTGGACAGCAGAGGATGAGTTTAGTGAGAAGGGTACTGAGTTAAGTTTCAGAGGTGGGTGTGTCAGAGGGTGGCAAGGAGCCCACGGTAAAATCCGGGGCTGCAGGCGGAAGAACAGGTGCTGGGAGTTGTGGGGCATGAATGTAGGGAAGCCGGGATCTGAGCCTGGGCACTGTGATGTCAGGTTCTTCGCCTTACCCTCGAGTGCTGTAGCCTCTTGGAGAGATTCAGGACAGAGAGGAGCTGAAAGTGACAACTTCAACAGCGAAAAGGATGTACTTGGTGATTATATAATGAGATTAGAAAGTATGTTAAATACTACAAAGATAATATTGTTGTGATTAGACCAAAAATAATTAGAAGCCTATTATTTTAATAGAGTTGTAATAGAGAAAACATACAGAGTTCATTCAAGAGGTTAGATATCAACATTTGAATTTGAATATAAACTTTTCCATTATTTTTTCTTTTTTTTAAGTATCAATATTATGGAAATGATGTACAGTAAGCCAAAAGATTTAAACCATCCACCCTTGTCTACCACTCAGTAACCACTGGTAACCTCCTGGTTTGCATTTTCCTAACCTTTTTCTGTACATATATCATCATCACTCATACAAAATGCAGTAGTGTTTTATAACATGCTTTCCACTTAAAATATAATATTTAAATGCAGCTGAAAAAAAATAAACTTAAGTCATAAGACTACTATACTTCTTTTTATGAATCATTTTCATTTTCTGTTAGGCCAACCTGTAATTCAGGTTCTTGCTGGTTTTTGCCTATAATTTAAACAGTTTTATTTGCCACCATAAGTTTAAAAAGTAATGTGTTTTTAAGATGACAGGATTGAATCCATTCTAAACAAAAAAGGAATTGAAGGGGGTTGTAAAATGGATTTTACTTTTTCTCATTAAGGTTTTAATAGAAAAAGATTGGATCTCCTTTGGACATAAGTTTTCAGAGAGGTAAGTCACAATGTACATTCAGGTATTTTGTAAAATTAATACAACTAGTTTAGATGACCAGAATGTTCTGGTTCTTCATGATGGGAAATGAGAGTGGTGTGGGTTTTTGTATGAAAACCGATTTAATTTTTTTTACAAGTCTCATACTTTCATGAATTCTCATGGCAGTTTAATTACCTTCCTTTTTGTCTGGATTGTAGTGGTTAGAATGTAATAGATCCTTTAAAACTGTGGTTGAAAAACTCATAAATTGTTTCAATAGAAACATGACAGGTTTTAGGGGTTTTTTTAATGCCAATATAACAATGTTTTAGGACTTTTTTTTTTTCTGGATGGGGGGATATGTATTTAAATTTAACAGTACCCAAACAATTGACCTCTTCCAGTGGCATTTTCAAAAGCTTGTACTTTCTGGGGGGTAGGTGTGGCCATTTGGATGGTGACCCAAAGGAAGTCTCGCCGGTGTTTACTCAGTTCTTGGAGTGTGTCTGGCATTTGACTGAACAGTTTCCACAAGCCTTCGAGTTCAATGAAGCGTTTCTTCTTCAGATCCATGAACATATTCATTCATGCCAGTTTGGAAACTTTATTGGAAATTGTCAGAAGGAAAGAGAAGAACTCAAGTAAGACAGTTGTTTGAAATGGGCTTTTTTTTTTCCTATTTAGCTGAGGTCTAACATAAATTGTAGTTGAACTTAAACTATCTTGACAATATGATATAGAACTGGGTCTTAACATGAATATTTTGCTGTCAGTATTTCTGCAGCTGAGTAAGCTCTGAGCACCCCTCACACTCTTGGCTAATGGTTAAAAATTTGTTTTGAAGTGTGGTGTGTGTGCAGACAAGTATGTATAACCTAAGTGTGAAAAATTCAGAGGTGAGGTTAGACTGTGACTAAAAGAAAAAGGGGAAATTAAACCTATGTGGGAAATGATTACCTGCTTTATAGGAGAGTATCAGCATCTCTGGGAAAGGTCTTCATGTTTTTCTCATCACATCAGGTTGAAGGAGAAGACATACTCCCTGTGGCCATTTCTTCTGGATGACCAGAAGAAGTACCTCAATCCTCTCTACGGTTCCCAGTCTCAGAAATCGGCAGTTCTGGAGCCAAATACAGTGTCTTTCAATTTTAAGTAAGGTGGCATTATTGAAATACTTAATTATACTCAATTTTTCTCAATTTGTTGAAAAAAAAATTTTCTATTTTTTGTCTGTTTTTGTCATAAAGGTTTTGGAGAAACATGTTCCACCAGTTTGATCGAACATTGCATCCTAGGCAGTCTGTATTTAATATAATTATGAACATGAATGAGCAGAATAAGCAGTTAGAGACAGATATCAAGGACTTAGAATCTGTAAGTATTCTGAAGCATCTTGTGTGATGTATTTGGAATATTGAGTCAGTTTATTTCCTTACTTGTGCTCTCAGTATAAATCAGTATATATAGAAATCTCACGAGTACCTGTGGTTGCTTCAAAATCAGATCTCCTCTGCCTTGAAAGGTTGGTTCAAATCGCATTTTCTGATTTTTAAAATATATTCAAATATTTGAAGTATATAGGCAAAAGAGATATAATGAATATTAGGGTATTCACCACCTAGCTTTGTGAGATTTTAGCATTTGTTGTATTTGATCGAGATCTTTCCTGTTTCTCTCTGAAGAAAAGGAGCATTACTGATCTCTTTGCAGAGCCTGCGAGCCACTGCTACGTCCTCCCACCCGCTCTCACTGCACTGAGCCTGGTGTTGGTCCCTCCTGCCCATGTTTTTATACTTCCGCTATATATGCTTGTATTCACAAACAATTTATCACAAGCTTTTGTTTGGTTTAATATATTATTTTTATTATGTATTGAGAAAACACAGAAGAAAACAGTTTTCTGTAAAGGGCAGCAAACTACACGATTGCCCAGTCCCTTCACTCCGCTTCAGGAACCACACATTTTAAAACTATACAAAGGCTGTCACACTGTCATGCTTCACCTTGCTCTGCATTGTTCTGAAATTTGTCCATGTTGGTACGTGTGCCTTTAGTTCATCTGTTTCTTCGGTGACTACTGCCTGATATTCTCTTGTATGACTGTGGCACAGTCTGTCAGTTCGGCTTCACTAGACATTTCAATTATTCGCAGTTTTGGATTTCTGTCACAACAGGTGAAGTTGGATGACTTTTCATGTTTTTGTTGGCTATTTGGTTTTTCCCCTTCTGCATGCGAATGGCCCGTTCAAACCTGTACTCATTACTCTGTTGGCGTATTTGCCTTTTTCTTACCAGTTTCTAAGAATTCTTTATATACTAGACACTAATTCTTATTTAGTTAAATATATCACTAATGGCTTTGTCCAGTTTTTGTTTTTTCCATTTTCTTGATGGTGTGTTTTGTATAGATACTGTGAATTTTAATATATTCAAATTCACCAGTCTTTGTTTTACGCCTTTTTTAATATCTTTTTTAAGAAATCCTTCCCCACCCTAAAACATTTCTTTACCATTATATATAGCCAAAAAGGATCAGTAAGCACATGTTTTAAAAAAGCCTAACCAGTTGTTATATCTCAGTGAGACAGTCCTGTCTGCCTTTTAGGCAGGACTGTTGCTGGTCGGCTCTCAGATAAGGAGGCCATGACCGTGTGAGTGACCTGTCGGAGAGGCCCCAGTTTTAGGTGGCACAGGAGGGTTATCTGGAGATCAGTCCGAGGATCTGGGGAGTGTGAACTCTGCCAACGAATTCTTTTAAAATCTATTAAAATAAAAAACTCTGTCGTGTTCTAGCACCTCTTGTGCGCGCATAACAGACCCATGCAGACTCACCACAAAGCTCATCAGGCCAGCAGATCTTCAGCTAAATGAGTGTGTGTGTCACATTGTACAGCTGGGATTTCAGGGAGACCGTCTCATACATATTTCTTACACTGTAAAATGCTTACTTTTTATCCTTTCTAGGAAATGTATGTGCTTTTCAAATATGAAGGTCTAATGACCCTCTTCGGATTCTCAGTCCTGTCTCACCTACACTAGATTTTAGTTTTTTGAGATTTAATTTTGCATTCTACATAAACAGAGCATTTGCAAAAGCAGGATCTTTTTCTAGCTTTTATCTAGTATATATTGAACGTGTGGAGTGTGCAGCTCATAATTTCTTTTAAATTTGGCTTTGTTCTAGCAAATTAAGCAACGTAAAAATAAGCAAACAGATGGAATTCTCAGCAAGGAGTTGTTAAATTCAGTCCGTCCTGAATCACCCGCCCTCAAAGCCACCCTGAGTCTCAAGGAGCAGACTCTGCTGCCTGTGAACGATGTTCTTCGAACTATAGAGGGCAGTAGCCCTGCAGATAACCGCTACAGCGAGTATGCAGACGAGTTTTCCAAAGCCGAGCCTGCGGTGGTCAGCCTGGAGTATGGCGTGGCCAGGATGACCTGCTAGGCTCGAAGAGGGCTTTCTGGAGAGGGCTTTCTGGCTGCCTGTGGTGCGATTATTGTGAGGGTGGTCTGTGTGCGTGACGCAAGGAATTTGCCTAATAATGATCTTAGGGTTTAATAGGTTAATCGTTGAAGTCAGGGTGACAACTACTCTTGTGAGAGAAGTCAGTTTAATTGCATTTCTAGCAAGGAATGAATGACTTTCATTTCTGTAAGAAGCAGGTGATATATTGGCCAATGTACTCCAGACACAGTTTGTACTGTATACTAGTAAAGTGACCTGTCTATATGATTTACATGTTAATTGCAGCCAAACATGAATAGCTTTCCATAAGTATAATTTGATTGCCAGAAGACTCAACTGACAAAGCCGTCCTTCACTTAATAATTCACATGGCATGTACTTTCAATTATGTAACTATGAATGTTTGCAAATGTTGCCTATCAGTGGTGTTTATTGTTGAAGTGCCATGAAAAATATTTCTAAGAAAGCCTTAAAACCTCAGTTTACTCATTAATCATTACATCACTCTTAGGTTTTATAGCCGAGAGCAATGGTTTGTTCTGTTTTGCTTGATCAGCCTGGTTGTGTTTGTGAGGGGTTGCTCTCACACCCGCAAGAGTTGTAGGCCCTATGGAGACATGGTCAAGGGACACTGCCAAACTCAGGTGTGACTGGTCCCACTTCTGGAGTCAAAACAACCAAACTGGCAGTTTAATTCTGGTTACTATTTGTTTAGTGCTACATTTCATGACTTATTATTCATAGCTTCAATTGTTGATTTCTTGTGCTTACATTTGATCGTCTTTTCTGAATGGATTCCTGCATCCTATTGATTCTTATTTTGTGATTGGCCTTATTCCTTGGATAACTGTGTGAGTTTACAAAGCTAAAGCTCTCAATTGTTATTAGAAACAATGAATAGTACATATATGTATATTTGCAAACTGTTTTATCTCTCAATGAATTGTTCTTCCTAGAATAAGTTTTCAATTTACTCAAGAATCTTTGGGTTTAAAAAAGGGAGTACAGATAGTTCAGGTTTTGCTTGGTTGCATGAGTTTTTCTCTGTGACACATTTTTTTTCTTCTCTGTTTTCATAGAAGAGAAAAAAGGAAAATTAAAGGTAATGTTTAACAAAAAAACTCAATGCTGGGAAGAATTTCATTTTGCCATGTTACAGTAACTGTTTATTCTCTGTACTAGTACATATCATTAAAGTACAAGAAAAAGAAAACATAAAAGAAAATTATTTTCAATTGACAGTATCACCCAGCTGGCTTTAAAATGGAAAATTCAACGTGGGTGACACAAGCTGTGATTCAGGGGTACTGGGAAATCTGCATAGGATCCCTTCTGCTTCTTTTTATTATACCTACATCTGTTATATTGATTTTAAACATAAATATCTTTTTCAAATGGAAAAACAGGCTTTATTGTATGAGCTTATCTAATCCTATTTTTTAAGTGCTTTTCTGTAATGCATTATGTAATAAGAAAAATACTTGTTTTTTAACAGTAATAGAAACACACTGTAATGTATAGTCTGGGATTTAGCCAAGTCTGTTTCCATATTTGAGCCCTGGGATGAGAAACTTAATCTCTGTGACCGTAGAAGGGAAGCTGTTGTGCCTTGTTACCTGGTTCCAGTTGCTGACTGTGGTTTTGGGATCTTCCACAGCACCCTTCCTATCTTCAGCTCTTTGGCTTATTGTTTTCATCTTCAACTTGAGGCATATATATGTGTGTTCATGTGCTCACATGTGGACTGAGAAATCCGTTAACATCCTAAGTGACCCACAGGGTGTGTGTTGATGAAAAGTAGATTGTGTATATGTTTTAAAAGATTGGATTTGTATTCAGTGTGTTTGGGAGTGTATAGCATGTACATTATTACATATATTATTTAAAGGTAATTAAATGCTCATGTTTTCCATTGAATTTTTTTTTTTTTAAAACAAATGGGATCTAGTTGTGGTAGGTTTTTTCCCTCACTTAGGCAAAATGACCTGCATATAACACAATCATCACAGTGTAAGGTTTGAGCATTTCACTTTTCAAAAGTGAATGTTGATAAATAGTAACATATAGAAATCATTTCCAAAATACTTAAAATAAGCATAGAGGGCTGAAAGGTTCAGCAGATACAGTTGATAATGTCACTGCATTTTCCTTTCGATCCTGTCACTTCCTGATGTCACATCAGTGTTTTACTGCGCCCTTCTCAACGTCAATGGAAGGTGGTATCCAGTGGGTGTGTTTCTTCAAGGGGCAGGGTCTTCCCCAGAGGCCAACCTGCATGTAATCAGAAAGAAGAAGGTGCCTGACAGAGAAGCGTGTGACTTTATATGAGGGTGTTTCGAGCAGGTTGGTTAGGCTAGAAGTAGCTTGGGAAATCTTCACTAAATAGAGATGGATGGAAGGCCTTTTTTTTTCCAGTTTGTTTGGTGGGGTAGCAGGGCAGGGGGTAGTTAACCTCAATTTTTTTTTTTTTTAAAGACCATTATTTTTCTGGCAGTTTTAGGTTCACAGCAGAACTGGAGGGGAAGTCCAGAGATTTTCTGTATTCCCTGTGCCCTACACGTGCACAGCTTCCTGCATCGTCAGCATCCCCACCAGATGGCACATTTGTTAGGACTATGAGACACTGACACATTGTAATGACCCCAAGTCCACAGTTTACCTTAGGGTTCATCTCGGTATCATATCCTGTGGATCGGGACAAATGTATGTATTGACCTTTATAATGTCACACAGAGCAGTCTCACTGCCCTAGAAGTCCTCTGTGCTCCGCCCATTCATCCCCACCTCCCCCCAGCACTCAGCAGCTACCCTTCTTTTTACTGTGTCCAGAGTGTGGCCGTTTCCAGAATGTCATACAGCAGGAGTCCTACAGTGCGTAACCTTCCAGTTGGCTACAGAGTCACTCACTTAGTTGTGTGCAGTTAAGGTTTTTTTTTCTTTTTTTTTCCATGGCTTGGTAGCTCATTTCTTTTTAGCACTGAGTAATATTCCATCGTCTGGATGGGCCACAGGTTATTTATCCATTCACCTACTGTAGAACATTTGGGTTGCTTTCCAAATTTCAGCAGTTAGGAATAAAGCTGCTGTGAACATCTGCATCTGTGTTCAGGTTTCTGTGTGGGTGAGAACCCAGGAGCGTGTCCGCTGGCTTGTAGGGGAGGAGTGCGCCCAGTGTTGCAAGAACCTGCAGGTCGGTCTTCCAGAGAGGCTGTACTGCATCTGCATTCCCACCAGCAAGGATTTCTGCATTCTGCATGTGGGAGTCTGCATTCCCACCGGCAATGCTTGAGGCTTCCTGCCGCTTCCCACCCTGCCCAGTACGTGGCGTTGTCAGTGATCCAGACAGTGGCCTTCCTGTAGGTGTGTAGCCAGTGGGTTTTGCTTTTCTCCCCCTTGTGCAGAAGGTCAGCTTTGGAATACTGGACATTTTCCAGCTGGCTCCCAGGTGAGACGAAATGCCTGCTGTCCCCTGCAGTGCTCTGCAAAGCAGTTGCAGACTGACGTTGGTCCATTTTCGTTTGGCCTTCCTGTAGGTGTGTAGCCAGTGGGTTTTGCTTTTCTCCCCCTTGTGCAGAAGGTCAGCTTTGGAATACTGGACGTTTTCCAGCTGGCTCCCAGGTGAGACGAAATGCCTGCTGTCCCCTGCAGTGCTCTGCAAAGCAGTTGCAGACTGACGTTGGTCCATTTTCGTTCCCCAGGCTTGAGCTACATTGGCTTTTCTGTGTAGTAATCCAGCTGGCATTAGCATATCTTGCTTAAATGTCTACATTCTAAGTAAAATGTAGAACCTATTTTTAAAAACATGTCCCTTTACCTATATGGAAGGGGCTTCCCAGGTGGCACTAGTGGTAAAGAACCTGCCTGCCAAGGCAGGAGACATGAGAGACATATTTGATCCCTGGGTCGGGAAGATCCCTTGGGAGGATGGCAAGGCAACCCACTTCAATATTCTTGTCTGGAGAATCCATGGACAGAGGAGTCTGGTGGACCAGAGTCCATAGGGCCACAAAGAGTTGGACATGACTGAAGCAACTTAGCACACGTGCACATGTATGGGAAAAGAATCTAAAAATAAGTGGATATATGTATATGTATAACTGAGTCACTGTGCTATACGGCAGAGACTAACAACATTGTAAATCAACTGTACTCCAATAAAAATTAAAACCAAAACCAAAGGTCACTATAAGCTTTAAGAACCTATACTAGAAAAAAGCCTGTTATTTAGAATGACTTATTATCTCAAAAAAAGTATATACTTTTCGTTGGCCATCTTATAAAATAAAAACATGAATTTCTGCCATTTTTATAAATAATGTTAATGCTACTCATCACTGAACAAGTAGAATGTCCTTTTGCACTGCACCTTCTATAAAATAGTGGAATGTGTAGCTAAAAGCCACTTTCAGAATCTAGTTTGTTGACTCCTAACGCCTTGGCTTTGAGCTCCTGATTCAGCAAGTGTGGGTTGGGACTGTGGAGTTAAAAACATTTATATATCAATAAAGCATTTTAAAATGCTTTGGAGATTGTGATGCAAAATGGTAGGAGAATCCCACTCTGAGGAGCACTGCCCTAAATCACCTACCCTGATCCTCAGGCAATCTTTCTCATTACTGAAAGAAAAACTGAACTGCTCTTATACAAAGGGCAGTAGACTGGGGACGTCTTACTTCTTAAACTTCCGTGTGTGACTGCATGGGTGAGAGTGAGGCCTTTGTTCTGAGCCACTGAGAGTTTGGGCACCTTGTTACTGTAGATGACCTGGCCCTTCAGGAACAGCGAGACCACGGACACACCGAAGAAGAGAGTGAGTCTAATTCCATCTGAAGACCGCTTCCTCACCGTCCCCAGATGGCCTTTTACTTACGATGCTTGCACTCACGTCCAGTAACAATTCAGGTGGTGCTTTTGTCTGGAGCTCTTTTGTCTCCACCTCAGACAGTCGCCTGACCTTTGCCCCTTGGCACTGATGCTTTGAACCAGAGCAGGTGTGAAGTACCACTCTGCCCTTGTCCAACTGTTCCCCCAGGTGTAGTTCAGCTCGCTTCTCCATCAGCTGTACCTCCTGTAAAGTAGGCACGAGGTGAGATTCAGATTAAGCATTTTAGGAAGGGTGCTGTGCACTGCATATTGAATCCCTCTGGAGGGTATAGCATCAGACTGTCAGCCGTGCTGATGCTGAATTTGGTCTCTTGGTTGATCTCTCCAACATAAAGGTGCACTTTACCCCTCTGGATTTAGCAGATGCTCTGCAGGATATGGATATCCCATTCTCTAACAACTTATCCGTTAATATTTGCCTGAATCAGTTATTTCATTGCATGATCACAAAACAGTGATTTTTATTTTTTTAATTTAATTTTTACCCAAATTTTTAATTTTTATTTTTAATTTATTTTTACCCAAATAGTTCAAAATGTGTGTATTTGTGTGTAAATATATATATACATCTTAGGTGTGGTTAATATATCATTGCATTGGACTTGCCACATCATACATGCTCGGTAGTCATATGTTCCCGCTGTCTGGGGCAACAAAAACCTAACCAGTGGGGTCTTGCTCACCCAGATCTGTTCCTCTGTTTACTTTCCCAAAGCTTCACAGATTAAATTGGTCACTTTCCTGCCCTCTGTTGGTAAATAATTACCCAACTGCAAGCTTGTACACAAGACATTTCCTGCAGATAGGTGTAAATCCTGGAGCCTTCAGTTTGTGCAATCATGCCGTCTTTAGAAATTATCAGGCATCGGGCAGAAACTGATGTGCGGTCTTGGCATCTGAGGGGAAAGGAGGGCTGGGGCAGAGCCATAGCAGGTGAAGCCAGGGGTTCATGCAGGGTCTTAGGCTCGCAGGAGCCAGAGAGAGGGAGCGCTTCTGAGCAGTGGGTAGATGGAGAGAGGACTTCAGAGTCTGGGAACAGGGGCTGATGGGCAGGGAGGCTGGCCTGCCTTCCCTCCACTCCTGCCCGTGTGAGGTCTGCGAGAGGTGAGTCAGGCACGCTGCTCGTCACCAGCTGCTCACATACACCTCAGTCTTGTTCTGTGCGGCCCTTCCATCCCCCTTGTATCCCATTCCCTGAAAAAAAAAAAAAACCACTTAACGTAACTAACATAAGCCTCCTTAAAGTACAGGCAGAAGTCAGACTTCAGTGGTTTTACGATTGAAGGGAGATGCGTAAGTAGAGACCACGGAGGCAGATTGCACTTAGGAGTAGGAAGGAAACAAAATTCTTGTCTATATAACTTCCCCATTAGAAGGATGGATGTATATTAAAGATCGTTGCTTTTAAAACCCAAACACACAGAGCCTGTGGGATGGAACAGGAAAGGAAGAACAGTTCCTAGCACCCTTGGTCCTGGACCACGAGCCTCTCAACAACTGGGCGTCTTCCTCTTTTTATCCGCAGCTCAGGGCACATGGCCAGGCGCCCAGCAGTTGGACAGGAGAGCTTTATTGATTGGGTGGGTGGATAGAGATACAGCCCCAGCCTTTTTAGGGTCATTTCTTTCTAGTTTCAGATGGCATTAAAAGGAATTAAACAGAATCATGTTCAAATATTGATGTATACCAAGAACGATACTTTTAATTTTCAAATAGGCTGTCATTTCCCCCATTTGCTAGGATGACTATTTCTTAATATGCTTTCTCTTCCCTTCCTCATAATTCTAGCAGAGTATTTAATCTAAATATTTTAGTATCTTACAGAGCTTGGCTGTGAGTTAGGATTTTGAAATTTGAATATTGATACCAGCTAATGAGAATACAAGATCCTAGCAGGGATGTTTCAGCTGGGCTTCAAGCCCTTATGCCATGTGGCAGCTTCCACTTGGAAGGCCTTGGAAGTATGCTCCAAGGGCAACCTCCTGGCAGCCACCTGGCAGCCTCGGGGCCAGGGCCACTGCTCCAGGAGGCAG